AATTATAATAACAACGACAATAACAACAAAAAAAGCAACATTAATACATAATAATAATAATAACAACAACAAAACTAGAAACATGTTGACACAAAAACCGGTTTCGTCGCTAATTTCTTTGTTTCTACTTTGTATAATGATAACATCAACAACATCAACAACAACAACATCAACAACAACAACATCAACAACATCAACAAAAATAACAACAACAACATCAACAACAACATCAACATCGTCATCAACATCATCACCGACAATATCTTTTATGTTTCGATTGCAAAGCCAAGAGTCAATTCGTTTTATAATTAGCGAAAATAAAATTGCTTCTAGTATCGCTACTACGACTACTACTGCTGCTGTGGCTGCTACTACTACTACAACAACTGCTGCTGCTGCTACAACTATTACCACAGCAGTTACAACTTCTCCAACTACAACTACTTCTACCTTTACTACAAATGATAATGATAAAAATAACTATAATAATAATTACAACAGCCACAACGACAACAGCCACAACAGCAACAATTACAACAACAACGACAACAACAACAACAGCAGCAGCAGCAGCAGCAACAACAACAACAACACCAACAACAAAAACAGCAACAACAACAACAGCAGTAATTTAAAAGACAAAATACGACGCCCGAAAGTTAAGCGCTTCGTTAAGCGCTTAACACTACTATATAACAATCAAATTACTGCTACTACTACTACTACCACTACTGCTGCAGCTACTGCTGCTGCTATTGCTACTACAACAACTGCTACTACCACTACTACTACTACTAATAATAATATTAATAAAATGAATTATAATGTCAACATTGATTTAGCAAATAGGAGGCGAAGTTTATTCGCAATTACTACAAATGATGTTGATGCTAAAATTGGTGCTACTACTGCCACTACAGCTATTACAGCTGTCGCTACTACTACAACTACTACTACTGCTGCAACGGCTATTACTACCGATATTAAATATTTTAATCATAATTACAATAATAATAATTATAACAACAACAACAATCACAACAACAACCACAACAACAGCAACAACAACAGCAACAACAACAGCAACAACGAAAACAACAACAACACAAACCCGAACATAACGACAACAACAGCCGGCATCATGAAACCAACGGACTACCCGGAAGCAGTTATCCCGATGTATAAGTACCTACTTCCGGTCATTGTGCTACTGACCTTCGTCACCAACTTGTTCGTCTGTGTGGTTCTCACCACAAAGCAGATGCGGAACCCGACGAACATGCTGCTCGTCGCAATGGCTATTTCGGATACTTTAACAGGTTTTGATGATGATGATGATTGTGTTGGTGGTGGTGATGATGATGGTGATGATGGTGATGATAGTTATAGTGATGATGATGGTGATGATGATAAATATGATAGTTATGGTGATGAGAATGGTGATGATAGTTATGATGGTGATGATGGTGATGATAGTTATGAAGGTGATGATGGTGATGATGGTGATGATGGTGATGATGGTGATGAGGATGGGGGTGGTTTTGCGAGATAAGGTCATTGTTTTTGTTGTTGATGTACTATTGTTAATCATCATCACAAACATCATCATCACCATCCACAAAACTAATCATCATCATCACCGTCATCATCATCACCGTCATCATCATCATCAATCATCACCGTTATAATCATTATCACCACAACCAATGGATCATTATCAGGATTAATACCAGCCCCAATCTCAATCTACTTATATACGATGGAATATCATAAAGATTACGTCCCATACAACCTCTGCTATTGTAAGGAAATGACTGAGACTCATCTGCCTACAGGTTAACTTAACTACCACACACACACACA